CGCAGCGGTGTTGAAGCTGCACTCGCTTTTGCTTTCTTCCGGGGCGGCATTTTGGGAGAATGTTGATGGTTGGTGCGGGAGAAAAAAGGGATTTAGAGGTAGAGAAACGCGAAGTCGCGAAAGTTGCGGATACAGTGACGGAAGGTGCAAGCTGCAAGGGTCGCGCGTAGGGCTGAATCGCCAAAACTATGGCGCGTCATACCCCTCACTGTCCACTACTCAACATCCACTGCCATGGATGCGCGCGATTCGATTCACAATGTCTTCAGTACCGATCGCTTATGGCAGCAGCCCTCCTTTTTTGACGATGCCGATTCGCACGAATCGTCACTCTTTGCTCCCTTAGAGCTAGACAGTGGGTCGTCGCGTCTTTTCAACATGAACATGTGAACGCGTCGCTGACCAGCCACAGTCTCCTCAATCAGATTCGACCATCCGTATGCACCAAAACATGACCTCGAACGCGAACTTCGACTGCCCGATCTCGACACGTTCGAGTTCGGACCTCTGCCAGAGCTCGATAGTTTTGACGACTCCAGCATTTCCATCGATACACCACCGTTAGAGCCCGAGGAAGACGTCTGGAAAATCGCACTTGACCTGGGGCCTGCGAACAAAGATGTTTTGTTCTACACGTGGGAGTCTTTTGAGAAGAAAAGTCATGTCCAAAGCCGAACACCATACATGACCGAGCAGGGGCCTGAGGCTTTTGATGCAACGTTAATACGCGACGAGGGTAAAACCAGTGCTGGACGCGTACTCAAGGGGGATGTACTCTTACAGTCACTCTGGAATCTCGGTCTGGGCCGCTCATCCATTCTATTCCAGTTCAACGCAAAGCTGAAGACATTCCAACCCGCCATACTGCATGGACGAGCCTCGGGACTGAGTCTGCAAGCAGCTCAGAGCTTGATCACCCACTTTACACATACCGGCAACACGTTCCTCTATCTGCGGTCTTTCGCAGAACGGACCTTTGCCTCAGCCACGTCTATTCCTGCAAAGGTTGCTCTTGCCACTTCAGTCTCGAGCATCCTAGCAAGTCTAGAAGACACCCTAGGAAAGCAGTTTACCAAGATCCGCTCACTCATGCAGCTTCAGCACCAGTTTGCTAGACCTCGCAACGTTCTCATACACGTCGCTCGCATGGTAGACGCGGTCAAACATGCCAAAACCAACGAGCAACTGTCATCCATACTACACCACCGTCTACTTGAGCTGGAAGAAGGAGACGAACAGCTTCGTCAGCTATCGTGTCAGGTGCTTAGCCAGGTAGCTAGACCAAGCTTGGAGCTTCTCAGTGAATGGATGGGCATAAGGAAAGAGCAAGCGTCTGTACCTATCTGGCAGCGCGGCAGCTTTGTAACTGTTGAAGACACGTCTGTTGATGCTCTCACACTTGACTACACTTACAGATCTGAGATGATGCCAAGATTCATTTCTCCAGAAGACGGCAACACAATATTTGAGACAGGCCATAGTCTTCGTTTCTTGAAGTCACAACATCCAGATCATCCACTGGCTCGCCTGGATGGGCTGGCAGTTCAGCCTCCGGACATGGAGTGGGGCTTTCAATGGCAAGACATTGAGATACTGGCATCCAAAGCAAAAGCATACGAAGAGAGGCTCAGACAAGCACTTCTCGCTTTTAGTACAGGTTCGACTGATATGGCACCTTCTCTCTTGACACCATCTGCACTAGAATCTGCGACAGAAGCTCCAAACAACTCCCAGTCCCTGGATCGATACTTCGAGGAATCTATTCAACGTATGGATGAAGCTCCCAAGTGGTCCTCTCAAGCGCTACCAGATGAGCTGCAACTTCTTATGGAGAGGACACTTCAGAATGCAGACGAAGATGGCGGAGTTGCCACCAACACCTTCTCGCCGCCCATGTCTCTGGCGTCTACTCTATCATTTCGTCCACTCATCACAGCGCAAGCAAAACTCGTTAACGCAGCCACTATCCGGTTGTTCTTCCGTTCACATCAGCTGCGGCTTCACTTATCTCTTCAACGACAGTATCACCTTCTTGGCGATGGTGTATTCTCGTCTCTACTGGCAACTGCCTTGTTCGACCCTGACCGTGAGAGTGCCGAACGCCACAAAGGCAGGATGCGTAGCGGAGTACACATGGGATTACAACTAGGTTCACGAACGTCGTGGCCACCAGCGAGCTCAGAGCTCCGATTAGCATTACGAGGCGTCCTCAGTGAAAGTTACTATTCTTCCACGCTCTATCAGTCAACGCTAAGCGCTGAAGCGATCGTCGCACCTACGACGCTTCTCAATAACAGGGACAACGATGAGCTTCCTGGGCAGCTCAACTTTGCCATCCGCAACCTCACTGAAGCCGAACAAGAGAAAGTCATGGACCCTGACGCGTTACACGCGCTTGACTTTTTACGTTTGCAATACGTAGCACCAGCTCCTCTGAACTTGGTGATCACAAGTACTTCTCTGGAAAAGTACGACTACATCTTCAAATTCTTGTTGCGACTTCTGCGCATGCTCTTTGTCGTCTCACATTTGCCACGCAGGTATGCAGACAGCAACGCTCGTCAATTCAGGACCGAGGCATATCATTTTGTTATAACGCTCACAAACTACGTCTTCCAGACAGGTATCACAGAGCCGTGGGACGACTTTGACAATTTTGTTCGAACAGTGGAGACCCGATTACACGAGGAAGACCTCGCGGGGGAACTAGGGGTTCGTGTCACGGAAGGCGTCGCTTCTCTGCGCGATACCCATGACAAATGCCTAGACAGTATACTGTTTGCGCTGTTGCTCCGCAGACGACAACGCAAGATCATGGCTCTCGTGGAAGAGATTTTTGACCACATACTCCTCTTCGCCAAGATGCAGAATTCAAATACGCAACAGGGTGGCGAAAGCGTCGAAGCTCTTTACGCGAAGCTTAGGGGAAAGATAAGAGTATTTTTGAGTGTGTGCCGGGGCTTAACAGGCAAGCAAGGTTACGGGAAAGGAAGAGGCACCGTTGAAGAGAACTCCATGGAGCGGTTAGTAGTCGCAATGGAGATGAATGGTTATTTTGCTTGATTGCAGAAGGCTTACAACCAGTAATCGTCTTTATGCGAGGAGTCTATCATCAATCCGCAAGATTATTCCGTTTGGTTTATTCCGTCTCATACGGCAAGGCAACAGCCCCACTTTTCACACGCGTGTATATTCCGCTGCTTACACCTGTCACTAAAACAACAACCATACACTCGTAATACAGCAAGACATAAGAGGCAGCATTCGCCATGTTCTCAGGTATAATCACATTAGTGCTTTACTTGTTTCCGAAACCTGTTCCGGAATGGCCAACCAACGTACGCACGCTCTAGACAATCTCCGCACATGCCTCACAGCGCTGGTTATCCTCCACCATTCTTCGACCCCCTATGGCGGCGCAGGTCCATGGCCATATACCTCGCCTCTATATATGCCGAACAGCTCTCCCATTCTCCTCACTTTCAACGTCATCAACCAGACTTTCTTCATGGCCACTTTCTTTCTCATCTCAGCGTACTTCTCATCAATCGCAGCGAGAAAGAAGACTAGGCATCAGTTTCTTAAAGAAAAGTGGAAGAGACTAGGTGTTCCGACGCTGATGTTTAGTCTGATCGTGAAGGGGGCTGCTAGAGGGATTCTAGCGTGGAGGTTGAAAGATGAGGACTGGGTCAACATTGGTAGAGAGGTCTTGGAGGGCTTGAAGATTGTTCGGGGTGTTTCGGGGCCGGTGTGGTACTGTGCGTTACTCCTTATCTTTGATGGGTTGTATGCTGGACTACTACCGAGCCATTTTGCAGATAAGTCGCCAAGTCAGAAAGCGATCTTTAAAGCACCGTCCGACGTTGTCAACATCAACGCAGCCTCACCTACGACAAACACTACCAACTCAACCAAGGAACCACACACCTTTCGTACGACCCACGTGCTAGCTGCAGTCACCTTGACATCAATATCCTCCTTCGTCATTCGACTCTACTATCCCGTAGGTCGACCCCTTTGGCCAATATCCCTCCAGCTGGCTTATGCATCACAATACGTACTCTACTACACTACTGGGATCTACATACATCGCTCTGGACGTTCACTCCAAGGGTTCATCTCTCCATCTACCTTAAGGGTAATTGGTACAAGCACCGCCCTCATAACCTCTATTGGTCTCTTCCACATCCAATACCTGACTCGTACCGGCATGTCATCCTCTCAAATCATGCCCCTGGTTTTCGGTGGCCCAAATATGCTCGCCCTACTTTATGCGTTGTTTAACGAATTCGCTGGCTTTTTCATCGCTTCATTGATCTTGAAGGCCTTTTATAACGCACGCATGTCTTTCTTAGGGAAACGCTGGAGTGTAGGGAAGGTGGACCTGAGTGTGTATAGTTACGCGGCTTTTATGGTTCATGGTCCTGTAGTCCTTGATTTACAATGTCTATTTGGGAAGAAAGGCTGGGAGGGTATGGGGGCGGTGGAAACGGCGTTCTCAGTGGGAATCTTGGGTGTGGCAGAGTCATGGGTGATTGGGACGATACTGAAGAAGGCTATCGAGTCGGTGAGGTGGAAGGGATATCTGTGATGCAGATGAAGGCAGACGAGAGAAACAAGAGGGACCTACAATGCGACTTGGGAAGTAGCTTTCAGCCTAAGCAACGGTTTTCAGCATCAAATAGTGGACGAGACTGGTGTTTGTATAATGAAGCTGTTTATTGCACTTTCTATATCGAAAAAAAAAGTGTGTGGCTGCCTTGTAGGCCCTCATATTGCCAGCGATGGAAGCAAGGGGCAAGCCTATCTGTATTACGCTGCTAATCTACGAATCAAGTTACAGACGAAGAACACAAAGCTCTTGCTGTGCCACCGAGTTAGCACGTAAGCTATGCACAAGCAATGGCAAGCGCTTGCAGTGTTTACATTAAGATAAATCCGTCTTTGCATGTCCAGATTCACCGTACGTAGGTGCTTGCCTGTCAGTTGTTTTTACCACGATGGATCAATCGGAGTGGGAAACCGAGATAGGAGGGACGTTTCTCCTCCACCGGACCGTGACTCAAGGTACGTAAGCTTACAAGCATAGTCTTAGACTCCAGACATTAAGCGCTAGCATGTAGTTATGCCTGTCGGTACCAAAGTTGTGTCGGCAGAGCCTTGCGGTGTTTCTGCCTGGACAAAGACAGCGAAAATCGCCGTCATACTTCCAAACCAAAGCTCAAAGAGTTACTTCCTTAAGGTGCGGCTTTGGTCGATGAATTATCATTGACACCTGCTGATGTGATATCGTGTCCAATAGTGCGCTGCTGGCCAGGGCGCCAAACCTCTCACCGAAGGCGAGTACCAATCTGCATGCGCCATTAACGAGATAGTACCAGGTCTTGTGCCTCAAGCGACAGGTTGGGGAGAGTATCGCGATGGCGATACACAGATTCATTTCTTTCTCGGAGACTACCACGATATGGATCTATCGGCGGCGCCAGAACCTGTAAGCTTCGTTGAGAGAATCGCCGAACTGCACGCCAAGGGGAAATCACCGACTGGTATGTTCGGATTCCCTGTCTCAACAGTGCTGGGCAAGTTCGAACGTACAACAACATGGGAAAAGAGCTGGGCAGTGTGCTTCGCAAATCAGCTCAAAGACGTTATCAAATATGATAACGAGGTAAATGGTCTATGGCCAGAGTACGACCTTGCATGCGCACAACTCATCGCCAAAGTTATTCCAAAACTCCTGGGTGCCCTACAATCGGATGGCAGAAGCATCGAGCCGGCACTGATTCACGGCGATCTGTGGGAACAGAATGTCGGGATTGATATGGAGACTGGCGATACGATTTTATTCGATCCAGGGTCCACATATGCCCATAACGAGATGGAGTTCGGCACCTGGAGGGCTTCTTGGGCTTACCATTTCAACTCCCCAGTATATATGCGACTTTATCAGCGGCATATCGAACCTTCCGAACCTGTAGAGGAGTGGGATGACCGGAACCGACTTTACAGCCTGCACCCATACTTGAATGACTCCGCGGGTCACCCAGGCAGTATTTCAAGAGCCACGTAAGTGTTCTTCCCAAAATGGCCCTCCATTTCATCTAACGGCATGTAGAGCCTATAACGATATGCTATATCTGTGTGAGAAGTACGCACCGTTGGAAAGCTTAGAGAGGTGCCGTCCTGAGAACGATGTCAGTGTCACCGGGACTTATGTGCAGCATGAGACCCACATGATGAAAGATGCCCATCTCAACCAGACAACAATGTCGAGTGCTTCTCAGTCTATTCACACCTGAGTTCAGAAATGAAGCGATTCCGAATCTGCAACGTCTGGCCGCCACAGTGGATCATCATAACGATAAGAATTCCGATGATGTTTTCAGGGTGAGAGTAAATACAACGCCAAAGTGTTTTATATGCGTGATACCAAAGTCTGAAAATGGGAAGAGTTGTGACGTGTCACAGAGCTCAAAAACGCGTTGGAAGCGCGCGCGGGTGCGCTAGCCAGCCCCCCACCCATGCGCCTTGCGGGACAGATGTAGAGCAGCCTGTGCCGACACGAATATCACTTTCCACTGTTTAAAGAGAAAAAAAAGATCATGCGTGTTCTCATAGAGTATTTCATAAAATCCTGTATCTTACTATTGAAATTTCTGTCAAGATGCTTACACTACCTTGGCGCTGCACCAGGTAGGAGAGTTAGTGCTCAAAAATCACACGATCGGTTCTTGAGACCGTCGAGACAGAGGATATATCTTCAAGAAGAAATAATCATAGAATTACATGTTCAACTACTATTCCCTAGAACCCTAGTGTCACAGAAAGTAAGGCTAAGAAAGTGAGACAATCGAGAAAGTGACTACCGGAGCGATCCCGCTTTTCTCAAAACGCCCAATAAACCACCCTGAAGATGACTAAACGTCAGACCAAGTGACAAAGGAGAACGTGAATCCCTAACTACCAGTTCCAATGTGACATCCCAGTCCTCTGTCGAAGCCATGCACATTTATCAATCCAAGCCTTTCGGTCGCAACGGAAGGACAGCCATCTAGGCCTTGCCCTTCTTCGCAAGGTAGTATGTCAACAAGTTCAAGTGTTGTTCTCTCGCACCAGCAACGGCTTTCCAGAAACCTCCGTCTTCCTTCGCGCCGTCTGATCCGTTTATGCGCTCGTGCAGTGCGACACAAAACTCAATGTCTGCTTTACGCACATCGGCGTCCTGGTCATCCATACAGCGTACGGCTAATCTGCCTAGACGCGCAGTCTGCTCAGGTGATAGTGCAATGTTCTTAGCGCCGCTCATCTCGACGAGGGATGCAAGTGTGCTCAACGCCATGGTCGTAGAGCGGGTCGACACTTGGCCAGGCTGAGAAGAGATCGAAGACTTGGAGTTCGGCGAAGACGTTGGGGTCGATGCAGGTGTGTCCTCAATCATTGCGAGGACAGTATTAAGGCAATCCAGAGTCTGGCCGTACTTGACGATCTCGTCTGCAGTTGCCTCAAGGTCAATGGCGATATGCGATGTGTTTTCGTACTGCGCCTTTGTCTGCAGGATGGTACGAAGTACTCGAGAGTAGTATCTTGCAGTTTCTTTGCGATAAAGAGAAAGCAACGCGCGAATCGTTGCTAGAGCCTGTACCTTGAGGTTGACAGCCTTCATCTGGGGTGCCTTCAATTCGTGAACTGGGGCCTCGAGGAAATCGAGGCATGCCAGTAAAAGTCTGCCAAAGTTCTCGTCATTCGGCCCCCAGATTTCTTGGTTTGACTTGACCATGTCCTGCATGCGTCGGAACATGTGAGCCTCAACCGTGCGTCCCTCAATCTTCTTAATGCCACTTGCAAGTAGCTGTCGGTTCTTAAGCACTTCAGCGTTGTTCGTGTCGTAGCTCTCTGTGTGCAAGACGCTTCCTGTACTATTCGTTTTGTGGTGACCGCGTGGGCGCTCTTCGTTCCCATTACCCATCATGATATCACTTGACATGCTTCCGGTGCTTTGGCGGCGCTCGTTGGCCTTCTCGTTGATGGGAAGCTCTTCAAGGACCTGCTTCTCTGGCCCATTCTCAATAGTTGTGTGTTCCTCGCCAACGAAGGGATCCTCAAACACTTGAACTTCATCTCCGACATCGGTACCACGAGTGCTTGGTCGATCTGGAGACCTTATACGTGGGCTACGCGTTGAAGAGCGCAAGCTAGCGCTCTCCAAGTGACCCATAGATTTCGGACTCCTTAGCGCTGCTGCACGAGGGCTGGGTATCGGCAATCGACCGATTGACTTTCTCGGCTTCGGAGGCGTGTCGTGTGTAGATTGTGTTGTTGGTCGCGCAAGATTAGGAATGACCATAGTAAAGTTGTCCTCGTCTCCTACATCCACAGCTTCATCGTCTACGGATACGCTTCCACCCAGACCGTTTCTTGCTCGGAATGGGATGGTACCACCATCATGGTGGCTTTGCGATCGGACCCAAGGCTTTACCATTGTCAAATCTTCTTCTTTGGCCGGGCTTACAGCAGGGCTCTCGCGACGAGAGCTCATGCTGGGGGATTTGCCATGGGCAATGGGTTGACCAATTCTTGACTTCGGACGCGCCGGGCTGACATTTGGGCTGTTCTGCGTTTGCGCTCGTGGTCTTGCATTATTCTTTGGCACAGCAGGCTTCTTAGCCGTTGGTGCAGCAGGCGTCTTTTCCGGGGTCATAGAGGGCGTTACTTTTCCAGGCCGTCTAACAGCGTAGGGATCGGCTGTCGCTGGTCTATTCAATTCTGGTCGTCGGACAGGACGACGAACGGTGCCCGACATCAATGACCCGGTGCCCGTAGAGTTCTTGAGTGCTGATTTCGTTGACTCTCCAGACATTGCCGAGGGTGGTCGCGCCGGACCTGAGGAAGCCGTGGAAAGGTTCGATGTTGTTCTCGCACCTAACGACTTGGCTGATTGTGATGTTGGCACTGGTGAGTAACTGGCAGCAGCAGAGTTGGGACGCTCAGGGACACCTTTCGCAGCCGCTAGTTTGGCTCTCCTCTGTTCAGCAATCTTCTCCTTCAAGGCGTTACGCGAAGCACCGGGACCTATTGATTTCGAAAACGAAGCTGTGCTGGTTGACGACGAGACGGCGCCGCCATTCGGGTTGTTCGGATCTCTCTCGAGTGCGGTTTTCTCTCGTTTGTCAAGCGTATCGAACATCCTAGGAATTGTGTTAGTGGCTTCTGTATCAATGCTTCTCTATGGTCAAGCTCACTTCTCGGCCCTTTGAGGCCATACCAAAGCGTAGGTCCAATAGGCGCTTCGGTATGCCTCGCGCACCTTGGGGTTAGCGTCAGTGACGCCTCTGCGGATCAAAGTATCCAATGTCTCCAAGCCTCCTGAGTGTTCAATGTGCGAAGTGTGTCGCTTGATCAAAGTCTTCGCCCAAGTTGCCGAGTGGGTTCGTGGTTGTACGTTCTTGTCTTGTGAGGCCATGGCTACATGCTGCAATACGCGACTGTTGTACGATACGCTCTGGAATATGGTATCTACGGTGACGGCTCCGTTTTGCGCTGCAATGTTCTTCGTGGCACCGCACATCTTGACGAATGATTGCAGGAGGATTTCAACCCAGGGATCGATGGCAGAACCGAGTGTTTTCGCGAGCTCCTGAACCAGCAGGCAGCCGTTGGTGGACATGGTCGTTCGGAGGGAGTTGGCAACCTTAAGGATACCGTCTAGAAGCGACTTGATGCCTGCGATGAAAGTAGCGTGGAACTCATGAGGTGCGTTGCCCTTCAAAATGCGCCTCAACTTGGTGCAGTTCTTGTCTCTGGCGAGCCAATTTCCCTCACTCTCTTTTCCTTCGTAGCAAGGCGCCATGTCGCGGAAAACATCGTCCAGCTCGCGCTGTGTGTAGATGTGTATGGGGTCCATGACTACAACTTCAACTGGAGGAGGCTGCTCGCCCGCAAAGCTATCTGTAAAACCAGCATCAGGTTGTATTGTCTCGGCGCGTTTAGTTGGGATAGGCCTGGAGATGGGAACGGGCGGTTGCGCGGGCGCGACATCTGTACCTTTAGACATGGCGTCGTCGTCGAGGTGGGTTGTGATGTAGCTAGCAATGGCTTTCCGGACGTTTAGGGCGATAAGTTGCTTCTTGAGGTTCGCTTTCGCGTGTTCTGGTGCGTGTCTATTGTGATGTCAGTCGCTACCATGGCGCAGCATGCCAGTCAATTGACATACCCAAAGAGATCCACCACCGCCTTCTTCGCGGTGTCGCGCACGCCGGCGTCCGCGTCTTCGAGGTTTGCCACGAATTGGTTGGAGTAGCTCTTGAAAGGGAGGCCTTCGGTCTTGTTCATCTGTTATTACCAAAGCGTTAGAACATTTTCTCTCCTTCCCGATGCGCCACGGGGGGTACGGACCTTGACCACCCACAGCATGGCAGATTCTTTGGCGCGAGGATTGGTGCTCTTTGCAGCATCGTGCATCAGCTCATCGATTTCTGTAGGGCATAGATAGTGCAGATCAGCCAGAATCTGTGAGGCGGCACTGCGATGGCTTTCGCGCGCATCGCCCAACTTGTCGGCGAGAATGGAACATAGTATCGGGGACTGTGACGTAAGAATCGACGTTTCTTTCTGGAGTTGCAGACGCTTGATAAAGTGGCTCAGTGTCGAGAAGCCCGTGGACACGAGGGCGGCCGAGGTGGCGGCAGTACAGGCGATGCGGATGCATTCGAAGATGGGAGCCTGACAGCTTTCAGGGACCCGGTTGTGCTTGATGCTCGATTTCAGCGTGCTGAATAGGGCAAGTCGAGACTGGACATCGGTCGACGGTTTCTGGAGTGCCTTGAGCAGATCCGACGTCTCTTTCTCCATCTTGGGCGCAAATTGGCCCTGTTTTCAAAAAGATTCTGCGATGTTGGAAGCGGGGTTTGTTGTGGCCTGCAATGTTTATGGGACGCAACTGCCCTGGGTTCACGCTAGGTCGCCGAGCAACCGTCCGTGCGCTTACACCTCGCCGCACTGCCGCTTACCCCAGGCGCGCTGAACGATCCACCCTCCTACGAAGCTTCTAGAGACGATGCGAACAGCTGGTCA